GTGTAATATAATTTTCCAATCTTTAAAAATATTTCTTTCTATTATTATTAATCGCATTTAAAAAATACGTAATATTTTAAATATTAGTACGAAAAAGTTAGTCGATTAGTATTATTATTTGGTGTGCCAAAAGCCTTGTATTTAAACTGAAGCCAAACAATAGTTTATGTCTCTATATTGTCTGTGAAATTGTCAAAGTCAATTGTCAAGCGGTGAACGTGAAATCGTCATTCGTACTTGTTTTACAACAAAAGTCATAAAAGTTGAAATCCGAACTGTGATCAGAGTTCTGGCTTAATTAAATAAAATAAATTGACATTCATTCAAAATGGCTAATAATTCTATGGGACAAGGTGCTAATATGCCAACGATTGGAACGATAAATCAGGGGACTATTCAGTACGTAAACAATCCGATTCAAAGTCCTCAGCTGCAGGCTAGCTCGATCCAGGGCTCACCATCGCAGCACAGTCCTATGGGTACACAGTCCCAGGTTGGAGCTAAAGCCAACCAAAGCGGCGGTGGAGATCAGACGACGCAGGTATGCATACACATACATGTACACATATTTGTGCTGAGATAGTTACTTCAACCTACTTAAGGTATTTTTCTAAGCTAATGAAACAATTTCCTATGTTCTTAAGTAGTGCCACCCTCATTTCAAACGGTAATTTTATTGGATTATAATGAATAACATCAATAATTAAAATTATTTACATAGTATGTACTGAAAAAGATTTACTGATACTTAAAATGCCACAAAATACCACAAAAAATAACATGACATTGTAAGTATGAACCTTTACTTTTCATATAAATCAGTGTTAAGTAGAGACTACTTCTTACACTATTAAACTGTCAAACACCAAGCGGTCACCGGTGACCACAACCTATTGTTCTATAATTGTGTCTACAAAACCGGTACTCGACGAGTTAATAAAAGATGATCCTTCTAAATATACCTTTTTGTCAAGTGTTTGTTATATGAACAACTACATTTAATTCCAGTTGCTAAGCCGACCCCGTCTTCAAGAGTTGGTCCGTGAGGTGGACCCCACAGTACAGCTTGATGAAGAAGTTGAGGAGATGTTGCTGCAGTTGGCCGATGACTTCATTGACACCACTTTGAATGCTGCTTGTGCTATGGCTAAGCACCGGCATGCTCCTAACGTTGAGTTGAAGGATGTGCAACTTCATTTGGGTGAGTAGTAGTCAAGAAATATATGCCACTTATATTCACATAACATAACATCACACCTTTTATCCCCAAAGAGGTAGGCAGAGGTGCACATTATGGGCCACTTAAATACCACTGTACAGTATAACACCCACTTTTCACTGTTTATGTTATGAGTCTCATGTAATAGGGTGAGATCATATACTGGGCACTCCAGACTTTAAGCAACAACTGAGAATAAAAAAAACCAGCTATACTTTGCCCATCCCGGCAATCGAAGCCTGGGACCCCCCCTGCCCAGCAGTCGCACTTGCGACCACTTGGTTACCGAGGCAGGACTCTTATATTCAAAGAGTACAGTATTATAGTACAATCCTTTACATTTGATCTGTTCAGGCAGACAAACAATCATAGGTCTTGCCATGGGTTATTGCTGACAAAATCAATGTCTGAGTAGAGTAAAACAGTAAATATTTACAAAATGGTGATATATAGTTTAAATGGTAGAAAAAGTTGCATTTGAATATTCTCAACAGAACAGTGCTTAATACAAAATTTCTGTCTATTATGTTTCTTTGTGTACTCTTTAATATTAATTGAAACTCATAAAATGTTATCAATATTCCAGAACGACAATGGAACATGTGGATCCCAGGATTCGGTAATGACGAGCTCCGGCCGTACAAGCGTGCGGCTGTTACTGAAGCACACAGGCAGCGCATGGCACTCATCCGCAAAACCATCAAGAAGTACTAATACTTACAAATATTGTCTGTGGTTTTTAATTATAAGTGTTTAGGTTATTGTTTTTGATTAAGATGTAATATAAGTTTGATTAAAGATATTTCAAATTTTTTACATACCTACTGTGTTACTTTTGCACCCCATAAAACTTACCAGCTATTGCTTAAAGGTTACCACAACAAAATCTGAAGTCGTGGCCGTCTATTAGATTTAACAACGTTTCGTTCGTAATACGAAAGGAGTCTGTTTGCTGTCTCGGTTTAGTTTTGGAAAAAACCTTTCTTTCATTGAACATATTAAGGCTATTAATGAGAAAGCCGAAAATGACTTCTATGCACTGACGCGAATTTCCAAAAGCTACCTGGGGTCTCTTTTCTTACGCTCAGAATCATATACGGAGCAACCTACCGGGGATTCGTGTGCTACGGGGCACCTGTCTGGGCCGATAGGGCCACAATAGGCGCAGTACGGCGAATACTTCTCCAACGACAGAGTCTAGCCTTGATTTTTCTATGTAAGGTTTATAGGACGGTTAGCACTGAGGCCCTACCTACCCTACCTATGAGGCATCCAGAGGTGCAGCGACGTGCTGCTATGTACTACAATGCGAGACCTAATTTGTCAGCAAGCTTTTTAGCACAACGTGATCGAAATAAAATTGTTAGATTGTTTAAGCCATTAACTCGTCGAGTACCGGTTTTGTAGACACAATTATAGAACAATAGGTTGCGGTCACCGGTGACCGCTTGGTGTTTGACAGTTTAACGCACGTTTGGGATGAGCTTATAACTGAATGGCCGTGTAGATGGGAATCTTCTATTTTGGGCCGCCACCTATATCAGTTCTTCCCATTCGTGCAAGAGCGGCTGGAGAGGACATGGTTGGAGGTGGACCAACATGCCTGGTCATGTTGGTCCTGTGCTTAGGTACTCACGAATCCAATTCCGATCGATCAACATTGGTATTGTGAAATTTCGTACTCTTGAGTTTCAACACTAGCGCCCATTGCATCCGTATTGCGTGGATATTGGATGAACTAAATGTTATTGAATTTTAACAGCAGAATAACAGCAGATTTTAACAGAATTCTATTTTAACAGCTACGATTGGGGTTGTAGTGTTGACATTGAATAATTATTGAGATTTTATTGGATTGATATTGCAATGACATTGAGATTGATTTCAAGAGTAAGCACCCTAGATGCGTTGTTAATTGGTCATTATGGGCAATTTCATATGCGGCTATGAAAAAATTGCAACGAATTTATTAATTACTTGTATTAATCGAAGTAAACCATGCAATTAATGCATCTTTGCCAACGCAGCTTGGCAGTAGGTAGGTATATTGATGTCCTTCTCAAAGAAATCAGCTGGACGGGAGGTATCAAATTCTTCAAAGGTAAAAATTCAATATGTAGGTACTGGCTCTCGGGTAAATATTTTTCTCGCCAAGAAGTTATCCAAATTCTGGAAAAAGTAGTAGCCTGTAGGCGCAAGGTCTGGTGAGTAGGGCAAATGACGGAGAGCTTTCAACGTCAGTTCTTGCAAGTTGGAGGCCGTCTGCTGTGCAGTGGAGATGAGCGATTGACCAATGCTGGTTGGCGATGCGCCAGCTTCTCCATCATTGTGTTCAGTTCTTCACAGTACACATCGGCAGTAATGCTCACCCCGTTTGGTAGAAGCAGTGATGAATCACACCGGCGCTAGACCACCAAACAGTGAACATGACTTCTCTAGGGGTAAATTTTCGTTTAGGGCATTTTTAGGTGCTGAACCAGGATACAACCACATTGCTGAGCGCTTACAGTTATCAAACAGAATCAATTTTTCATCGCAGTTAACAATGCGGTTCAAAATTCCTTCATTTGTGTCTCTGTTGAGCAGTGCAAGTCACGTCTCAACGCGTATTCGCGCTGGCGATCATTGAGTTCGTATGACACCACATTAATAAGCTTTTTTACCTTGCTCATTTGACGCTAATAGACCAATATAGTTTTGACGCTAACGTCAAAGGCTGCTGATAATTCAGCCTTAGGTTGTGTATCATCACTATCACCAGCTTCCACAATGTTATTGTACTTAATGTTATTGTCGACCAAAGTCTTCGGACGACCGCGAGGTTCATAGTGTCGAAAGGAGAAGTTGCAACTTCCATAGAAAATTACCCCACGTCCGACAGCTGAGAAAAATATCTTTTTTTTTATGGAATAGGAACGAGCAGTCGGATCACCTGATGGTAAGCGATCAGCGCCGCCCATGGACACCCGCAACACCAGAGGAGTCACAGGTGTGTTGCCGGCCTTTTAAAAAAGAAGTAGGTATCTTAAAAAATAGATAATAATGAATACATATTAATAAATTGCATTCCTCCGATATGATCATCCAAGGGTGACAATATCCTTACTTAAAAATTGCTCTAAATATTATTTCAGGCACAGTACACACACACTTTAACATATTTTACTATCAATTAGCCAATAGGTACGCTACCACTTATTATACTCTTTGCCTACTACTCTAACGATCATAAAAAAGTGGAATAAAGATGGCATAAAGATTAAAAAAATGAACATCTGTGACATTCTAAATTCAATTGCTATAATATTACAAAAAAATAAAATAAATAAAACTTATTTATTCCACATCTAGCAAAATGTTGTCTAAAAAATGCGCTGGGTGCCTAAAAACATCTGTAGGTATACCTCGCCCAACCAAGATAATACAAAATAATCATAACATGAGCGCAGACTCCCAGTGCTCTGCGCCTCTGTACCTATACATGTATCTAAATATGTTAATAATATTAACCTAGTATAATTCCTATGTCGCGGAGAACCTAACGGGTAACCGGGACTCCGGCTCGACGTGCAGGAGAAGGAACGGGTGGGTTTTAGTCAGTAAGAGTCTGACACTCCCTCCCGCCTCACCCAGGCGGGAGCAGCCATTCGATGATTTTCCGCCTTAAAAAAAAGTATAATTCCTATCTATTATCAAAATAAGCTATTACAGTATTTAATTGCTTATTACTCTGCCTCGTTGACCGAGTGGTCGCAAGTGCGGAGCACGCATAGGACAAAGTCTGGAATGGTGCCCGGTATATGGCAATAGGCTGACCCCCTATTACATGGGACTCATAACATAAATAGTGAAAAATGGGTGTTACATTGTACAGTGGTATTAAGTGCCGTAATGTGCACCTCTGTCTACCCATTCGGGGATAAAAGACTTGAAGTTCCTAACATAACAATGTATTGTGATAATAATTCTTGTATAATTCAAGGTTTGGGTACTGCGGGCGGAAACCCGCTACACAATGTAAAATTGCTTTTTAATCCCATTTTAAGACTAAAATCAAAAGTTAGTAGGTATATTACAGGTATTCTGCCCCTGAATTGATATTTAGAGCATTTTTTTTATGTACTAGCCATAGTCAGTAAGAATGATCACCGAAAGTAGGTACTTACTTACCTATATAATTTTTTTACACTACATAGCGATTTTTTTAGATATCTACGTCTTTGCAGTCGAAAGTAGAGCATTGTTTCTACTTCTTTTTTCCAGAATGGAAGCGCGCAAACGAATAGCATGGTGCTTACCAAAGAGTATAATAAGTATTACTCTTCCTTACAACCCAGCCGTCGCGAAGGACACTCCGGGCGTCAGAGATTGCGAAACAAGATTCAATGTCAAAACTATACAACCCCTAGATATCGTAGCTCTGTTAAAATAGCATTCAGTCAGAGAACGGAATATAAAGCCAAACTAAGTTCCATTTAGTTCCTTCAATATCCACGCAATACGGATGCAATGGGCGCTAGTGTTGCGACTCAAGATCAAGAGTACGAAATTTCACAATACCAATGTCGATCGATCGGAATTGGATTCAAGAGTAAGACCCCAGTTGGTGCGTTGGTTTGTAGTGCTAGGTCCTCAAACATCGTCGATGTTGCGTGCCGCTTGTGCTTCGTGTAATAAATAATTCCTTAAATTATTCGAATTTTTAACGTATTCATGATGACGAAAAAAATTGAATTGCGATGAAAATGTAACACTAATTAATAAACAAATGACTACATTTGCAAAAAAGATTTTTCATGTTTTTTAAATATAATAGTTTGAAATTAGAATTCTGAGCCAAACTAAAAATTGTTTAATTTGAAATAGCCAGTATTAATTGTAGAACGGCAATTTCATAGCTAAAGACCTAATATTATTATCAGAAAGGGAAACCAAAACTTCGACTACTAATGCTATTTTACTGTCTTATGCTTGGCCTAGGAGGCTTGGGTATCCTCGTAACAAGTTAAGTCATTTAAAGAACTAAGTAAGTGTTACTAGATACTTCTTTTGAGGGGGAAAATCATACAATGACTTCTTCCGCCTTGGGTTAGACGAAAGGGAGTGTCAGGTGGAGACGGCATCCCAATTTCCTTTCGCTTCGCACCATGGCTTGAACCAAAACCGGACGTAAGACTATACGAGGACTATCTACATCCCTGAGGTCACGGCAGTCCTCAGCCCAGCCATAGGGCACACCGCCACCGTATGCTCCACCGTGTCCTTCGTGCGGTCCTCGCAGTGTTGACACCCGGGCGTTTCCTCCCGCCCAATCTAAAACAGGAACCTAATGAAACTTCTGTGTCCGCCGTCCGGTAAGCACCTGAGTCAGGCGGTAGGACGTACCGTAGCGTCTCAGCCGCTCCTCAAAGAGGAGACTTACCGTTGCAACGACAGCCACCCCGACCCTCGGTTGCGACTGTCGTTGCTGCCGCGCCGGAGCTCATCCCGCCATGCACTAATCTGGTGCGGCAACGGAGTTTCGCCCCGGCGAAGCGCGCCAGCGACGCAAGTGGCAGTTGGCTTGTGGCCATACAATTTGATGCGTTAGAAGCTAGAATATTGATTGTTTCGTTCCACATAAGTACAATGTTGCTTTGGCATTTTTATGCTACTGTGTTCAGTAGTGCTCTGTTATTTTTTCTTAGGTGCGAATCCCGGATCGACCAGACATCGGATATTTTTCGGTATTTCGAATATTCTTATTAGAAATTGAAACGCTGATGTACGAGACTTGTGAAATGCAGGTTTTAAATTAAATAAGTATACATATACTTCTAAATAGCTCTTCAATGCTTTAATAGCGTTATAGGTACCTATGTAATGTAAATAATTAAAAAACAACAAAATATTTTAAGACACGATTTATTTAAATTGTTTTGATAATTAAAAATACACAATGAACATGACAAAACTGAAAAAATCACAAATAAATCACATACTTAATTTAAGTATAAAAATGGTCATAAATAGTAAAAATACTTAATACAATACTGGTTGAAAACAAAAACAAAATCACAGACATTATGGTGCACTGTTAGGGATTACACACACAGATCAGCACATTTAGGATAGTTAAATAGTTTATGAATTATTCAAAATAATTACAGTACATTTTATACATAGATTTATATAAATCGGCAAAATATTACAAAAATTTAAATTTTTACAGTTGGAACTTGAGTCCCAATAAATGTTGCCAGTATTAAAAATACTTTTTGATTTATTTCTTCCAAGCACTGTTAAAGAATAAGTATAAAGGAAAACGTTTTAGGTAATAATCATACGTGTTTTGACAATATTTTTATACAGTCCTTGGTATTGCTTTTCTGTCTGAGCGAGTCCCTTTCACAATAAATTAATTCACACAAAATTTAAATGGTAGGAAGTATACAGAAATATTTTGGAATGCATAAATACTAATATTGATGCTAAAAGACACCCATTTGTTAATGAATTTACGACCAATATGATTTTATAGCCAATATCATCTAACAGGCAAATAATTTGTTTTTACTAAACTAAATTACCCTAAGTCATGGCTAAGCCACATAATTTTTGTGATCTAAAGTTTTAAAACGACAGTGAAATTATCCTATAAAGTGTTTATCTAAACAAAATCTAGGAATATTATCTAAAATCTTTGTTCATATTGATCTGTCATAGGCTTGCCACTATAAAAAAGTAGCTTTATGATTCTCTTGCATTGCTTGAATTATTAGTGACAGATTAAATAATCTTATCCTAAAAATATAAAACATTGATCTTCAATTAAATACACGTCGTTTATCGTCACACGTAATCCTAATTACACAAATTAAACATTTTAAGTAATTAATACAAGAACATTTAAGTACAGACCGTTGACATAAATAAACGTCAAGCTATCTGTCACTGTCACACTTGACAGTTAATTCACGTGTAACACAGATAAAAAATAGCTCAACATTTATTTACCTCAGCATACCAGTCTCTATTTTCAGTTCGATTTGCCTAAAAAAAGTAAAAATTGCTTTTGTTCTAATACTTAGATGCAATTAAGTGACACAGCACTTGTATAAAAATACTTGATAGGCTTCTATCAAGTTCAGATCGACCATTTTTTTTGTCGTCTGTGGTGTTTGTAGAATATATTTGCTATAGCATCAGGCAATTTGATTTAAAAGCTGGTGTTTATGCTATAAGGTGTTACAGCCTACCATACAATAAGACGGTCTAACATTTTGTGGATCCTAGCCGTGTGCTATGAATTGCCGTTTATACTTTGCAGGCCGCGTCCCGTGGTGGGATGAAGAGATGGTCTAAAGGGCTGATTTTCTTCCAGTGAAGAGACTTAGACTGGATCGTCACAGGTTCCTGGAAAAAAAAGAAAAAATTGTTATTAAAATACTCTTTATTATTGTACATGTTAATTGCTTTGAAATATTAATTTAAAATAATTTAATTATTTGTTAGCTTAAATTAACATTTCGTGTCTTTCTACAATTTAAATCTAAAATTCTAATATTAAAATCATTTCTATCCTTCTGAACTACAGAGAACACTTATAATACAAATTATTTTCTATGAATTTCTAATCGCCCACATAGATACCTTACTGTGTACACATCTAGTCAATAAATAACTTAAAATCAATAAACAACTTAGTAAGACTGATTCATAACATAAATATTGCGCCACCTGCTACCTAGTTCTCACAAACGTGGCCTGATGAGTTGGCGACTCATCCTTTTATGATACCTAGAGCTTAGTGAACCATATTGCACTACTTTATTGCCATTATGATATGATAAAAATATGATGAAATAGGCAAGAACATTAGGATGTTCCAATTCCCATGTTATTGTCATAAGCCACGTAGAAAAGGGTGAATTTTTTTAAAAATATTAATTGAATAAATCTCCTTAGTTAAAATGAAACTACATAATATTTTTAAATGACGTATTTTATCCCCCGTAGAGGCAAAGTGAAGTGTTGTCAACACTCGGGGTCATGGTTCTATTTTAACCGGTCAACTACAAGTACCAACAAGAAAAAGATAACAATAATAATGTTGTATCATAAAAATAGTATCCGTCCGACTTATAAAAAATAAAAATCGAAAAGTAAATAGGTAATACAAGAATAGAATGCATTTGTACTATTAAACAAAAGCTGGTCCTAATAAACAAATGCGCAAAATGATATAATTATTTGCAAACTTCACTATTATTTAAATTTCACAACACTACGAAAGGGACCGCATAAATTGGCAACTCATTCGTCTGGTTCCATGGTGTAATGGTTAGCACTCTGGACTTTGAATCCAGCGATCCGAGTTCAAATCTCGGTGGAACCTATCTCTTTTTGTACAATGTTTTGAGCATTCTTTGAAGTTAGCAATATACGAGTTCTCTACGTAAAAAAAAAATAAATACGAAACGAATTGTTGTGAAATATTAATGCGTAGTGAATTCAATGTTTAATGAATGGAACTTGTCCTACTTAGTATTGAAGTTAACTTGTATTGTTTACAAATACAAGAATTTCCTGCAATGAGTTCATTTGTAGAGACCCAATGACTTACTTTACATCATGGTATAAAGAAAATGACCAACATAAACTTTATAGATGACGTAAAGAAAGATCTATTTATTAAAGAAATTTCATCGAAATTGTTAGGCTCGTTTCCGAGACACGTGAAATAAATGTAGCAACAGTATTATGTACGCATGACTTTCTGTTTTAAACAATCATCTTACTGTTACTTCCATATTTGAAATTACCGTTATTTTTCTTTCTCGTGTTGTCCTTTTCTTTTCAAAGTGTATTACAGCGACAGACATAGTTTTTAAACGTCAAGTTTTGGTGGATTCTGCAGCCTATTTCGTATGGAATTTTCTAGAAAGTCATTCTGCACTATCACAAAAATGAGTTGCATTTAGTATTATCATTTATCTATTTGAATACGGTGTGTGAAAATTATAGCTTAAATAAAGAATTACTATCGTATAAGCGGTTTCATATTTTATCGATATGATTACGAGTTTTAGGAAACCACTTTTTGTTGTAATCGATATTCGTGACTGTTCGTTAACGATAATGTCTTATTGTAATTTTGTTAATAAATTAGGTACCCATAGATTTGATTTTAAAAATCTTGTATTGATCAACTAACAGATTACTAAACTTTTTTTTTAATGGGGGAAAATCATCGAATGACTGCTCCCGCCTGGGTGAGGCGGGAGGGAGTGTCAGACACTTACTGACTAAAAACCACCCCGTTCCTTCTCCTGCACGTCAAGCCGGAGCCCCAGTTACCCGTTAGGTTCTCCGCGGCAGATTACTAGACTAGCCTAGATAGAAATCATACCTTGTACTTTATATATTTTTTCTGAGTATAGACCTAGACCTAACCGAGAGGTTATTCCTGTCGGTGAGCTACGTTTTCTAGAAATTTCCTCAGCAATTATCCTTAATTATTTATAAACTACGTTCCTCAAAGGTCATAAGGTCCTTCGGCTACGGATGGAAACTTCAAAGCAAATTATTTTAATAAGCAATGTAATTTAAAAAGCTAAATGTTTTATACCAGTAGATATAATGAATTTTATTTAAAATTATAGGATTTTTTTTAATATTATAGATTATTTCTCCACGGACTCTAGGTCCGTGCCCTTGTCATACAGTTTTTTAATTATAATACATCTAGTCAATTTTTATAAAGTAAAGGGGGAACCTAGTTACACACTACAATTAACTACATCTATAATTAAATTATAGGATTTATAGACGTAGAGAATAGTGTAGGTAGTGTCAGTTAACCTTCTCGAATCAAACAAATATTATTTTTAATAAATTCAACTTTATTGGAACAGGATAAAGCTGAGAATGTGCTATTCGTTCATCATGTCACAACGTTACGTCATTAACGAAATCGAACACAATAGAATTTGAATTATATCAGTGTTACCTGCCAATAATTGGACTTCCATATTTCAGGGAAAACAAAATCATGTCAGTAGAACTATTTGCGCATGACGGGCGCGTGTGCTAGCCGTGCTAGACTAGACGGTGTCGGTCGATATCGATTTGAACGTTCTCCCTAAGCACTAAGTACGAAGTTATTAGTACAACCGCCCCAGTGCACCAGTTGGCTAGGTAAAAAAAATCGAAATACTAACAGAGATATAGATTTAATAGATATGCCATATCACTATGATATGAACATTGAAATTTATGATTGTCACATTTCGATATTTTAGATCTTAGTTATTTTTTTTTTGTTTGCGTAATTATTGTGACGCGTGAACTGTAAATTACGCACCTTTAAGTACGGACGAATCAACATTTTCTTGCGTACAATAATACGGAAACGGCTATGTACTTAAAATATTCAAATATACACCTACACCAGGTAGATACTTACTGTTTACATATAAATTCAAAGTGACTGACTACAAACATACATATTGATATGTGTGAGTAACCACGTCTTATTGTTTACATCACGTTTTTTATATTTAAATAGGAACAAATAGGTTAGCCAAAACTGTTAATTAATGTTAATATTTTAATATGATATGACGATGACATAAAGGGTGGCAATTGTCCAATCAATATTTTGATCACATCGTAAAATGACACGACCTACAGATATACTTAGAGAAGATATTATGTTATTGTTGCGAAGAGAGGACTATTAAAAGTACTGCATAAAAACTTGTTCAAAATATTATTTAAATAGATCGACCTTTAATCGGGCAAACAACTTGATGCTAAATTAAGGCTTAATTTACAAAATAAATCGCATTAAGTACCCATTAAGCCACATAATTTACTAATATACCATAGAGAATCCGATAAAATGCTTAATTATATATTCTTATGTCCATTCCACATAATTATTTTAAGACTATCACGTAAATCTAAAATTTGATCCCGCAAACTTAAGTAGTCAGAATTGAATAGGCATCTAAAGTCCTACGTTAATTTAAGATTATTGTCAGAGAATGGTTAAAGCTCTAAGCATAGGTATATCAAGGCACGTACTGACAACACTATCCGAGCATTTTCCTTGCATTCTTTATTTAAAATTAAACTCGTGTATAATAACTGGCCGTTAATAGAACAAAGATTGAAATAGAGACCGTTGCATTTCCGAATGTTAAAATAGGAACAGTTTATTTTCAAACTGCCAATTACTCCCGTGGCGTATTGACGTATGTCACGTACTCATGAAGAGCTAGGAGCCAAGGAATATAAACTAGTTGGTATTTTGAGACGACACATAATAGCAGGGTTATAAATTATAACCCGTTTCTTTAAGGGTCAAGGTTGAAAATTTTGATAGTGTCCTTGTGTCAGACTCTTATTGATCAAAACTGCCCTAAAACTTTAATGATCTAACTGCTTCAACTCAAGTTGCTTGCCAAACTAGGGGACTAAAGCAGCGCCTCAAAGACCACGACAGACGGGGCCCAATAGGGCTAATACCGATACGGAGCCGCGGAACACTTACAGGTTGCCGGGGATCCGGCTCGAAATGCAGAGTAGGAACGGGGTAGTTTTTAGTCAGTAAGAGTTTGACACTCCCTCTCGCCTAACCCAAGGCGGGAGAAGTCATTGGATGATTTCCCCTCTCAAAAAAAAAGGGATTAAAGCAAACCCTGTTAAAGAGCCCAAAGTCTTTATTCACCAGTTGAGGTATCACGTCTGATGATGGTGAGATCATCACACACAATGACCACAGATATTAAAACTGATTCGTAAATGGAATAATACCATATAGAACCTTTATTGCACTACGCCTTAATTTTATTTGTTTGCATGGTTCATCGTCCTTTATTTAACCTTTGTTTAGTTAGGGCATCGATCGATGGGTGTATTCAATTGGTCTGACTATAAGTCTGATAGCATTGATTGCTCATTCATATTTTATTGTCACTTGTCTGAGCATGGGTGGTTTTGGGCAAAGACCTTAAATAAAACTGACAGGTTTATTTATAAAAGTACTTTTGAATACTCCATCAATCTAACTAAAATAAAGGTTTCATCTAAATTGCTCCTTATCGAAATAGCAAAGAACCATAAAGCCGTAATCAAGTCAATTAGTAAACGCATTGTGCAATAAAAGACTCCAGGTTAAAAACTGTAGTAAAGTCAGGAGTCATCATAATAATTATTGCTACCACATGTAGTAACTGACATAATTATATGAGCAACAGCGCAAACGCACCTCATGTCCATAAATAAACCTAGAACAACGAACTCTAGCGACAAAAAATATGGCAGATGGTAATTCTGTACTCGTCTCAAGGACAAGAATACATAACGACATTATAGAAGACTAACGTCGTCTACGACATTATAAAAGAAAATAGTATTTTCTTCATTAACTAACTGTTCTTTTTATCTTTACATGAGATATTTAGTTTATTCAGATTGATCTAAATACAGTAGTAGTAGCCTCCGACTAGTAGTGTAGAAAAATCCTTTTAACACATTTTTTTACAAATAAAACACCAACGTCTAAATTTAAACCCTCTAGTGGGAATGGTGATGAAATCCTAATTTGTATTGTAGGTAACGTAGATGAATGACTAGAGGCAACAAAGAACAGTGGGGTCAATACTGTTTAACATTCACTAATCACCATTAAAACTGTATAGAAGTACTTACGTAGAGACAATCAATTAGATAAAGAAGTGATAATAGAAAATATTAAACATTCAGTAGCAAGTAAAGAGGATAAAGTAATTATCCTACTTAAGCCTTCTTGATTGCAGCAATTATATTAAGCCAATGCCTGAATTGGCTCTAGCTCATTATATTTTATTGCCCGATATAAATCTTATGAAAATACAATTCATTTTGTAGGTAAGTGAAAGTAGGCTGGATAGATTTCTAAATATTGGAGGTAATTATGAATCTATTGCAAAGTAAAATATTACATTTAATATATCACTAGTATCGAAACAGCGGGCACTATTAATCAGTTTTCTTTTCTATTCTACAACGTCATTTTTTGCTGTAAAGTAATCAGCTGCTAGTTCTAAATCACCAACAGGAAAAACGTAATAAAAGATTATAATTTATGAAACTTTTCTCTGAAGACTATAAAACTTGTTGAATAAATATTATGTACCTACTTACCTAGTCACAACTTCATTGGCAGGACTAGTCTCATAAATAAAATTTAAAACGCTGTAATTGCTATGTCTACCTGAATCATTACTACTCATATCAATATAATTAATAATCTTAGCATTCATCTAAAAGCTGAACTGTTTGGTGCTAAGCACATTCTTGGAGTTAATTCGTCAACCGATGGGCATGTTGCCAATAATACTAAACGTATACGCTTCAAAGTGAAACACAAATTAGGTTCAAAAGATATGCAGACGATCATAAATAAGAATATCTTGATCAAAACGGAAATATCGATCGAAGGAATCAATGTTTGTAATGTGGATGATTCACACAATACTAAGGTAGACAAATTATTGGCATTGCAGCAAATAATAACAATCAATAATGAGTTTCGGATTTGCTAGTGAATGATGTTCCAAAATCAAACATACAGCACACGTCAAGGGAAAATGAGAGTCGAATATTACCGAATCACGCCCTAATCTAGGAACAAAATGAGCGAAACAAAACAACCATTATTTAAAAGTAATGCCAGATCAAGACGGTAAGCTATGAAGTGGAAATTGTTAGTTACTTAACATATTAATTCTTATTTATAGCTTTACGCTTCACACCACTTACGATTAACATTATCCAGGCTATAGCGAATAGGTACAGACATCTGCAAGAAAACAGACGCAATTTCAATTTAGAAATTTATATTATTCGTATTGGTATTTGAGATTTGAATCACCATTCGAGTGCAAATAAATACAGTACATTATCGATAAGTTTCTACAATTTGAAGTGTTTAGTTTGAAAATGATTATCTGAAACAATGCAGACTTTTGTATCACTGAAGTGATTGTTTATAAAGAACTGGAATTATCTACAGAAGACGCTAATCAATATTTTCTAGATAAGATTGAAGTGTTTGTTGAAATAGCCGCAGACTATGCGGAAAACGACAAAATAAGTCTAAGGTCATTGAATAAAGAAGCATACGTTTTTGTTGTTACAATATTTTTTGTAAACATTCCTGTTAAGTGTTAACTCAACGACTGCCATATTGCTCTAGTAGATTTGTTTATGATACAAGTACCGATTACGAGGTGGTCTGTTAATTTTTACGATCTAATAGTAGACCAAACTGTAAGATAAATGTGTTAGAAAACGTAAACATATTATAGTAAATTCATGTACTTTTCACTAAGTTCAATACTCAAATCCAGCTACAAGTCAATGTATGCAAAATTCATTGTAAATTGGCTTAACACAGAAGTTCACAGAACCAAACACAATAGGAACAGACATTACAATTTTACAAACTTTATAAAGGAACTTTGCCAGAGCTAGGTTTCCCCCAGTTTAGTAAGCGTCTGCAGTTGTGACGTTATTTATCGTGTAAGCCGTATCTAGGTCATGTTAGAGCATATCATTACTCCATGCAATAGACACGCTAGAGGCTTCCATCATAGTTTTTATATTTTTGCAGCTAACGATATATGTATTGTGAAACATCTCTATTCATTTTCGTTACCGAAATTCTTAGGAGTAATATTTACATATATCATTTTATGAAATAAAGTAATGTAAGTACTGGTTACCCTATCTGAAGTTGGACCTAAAATGCAACCTTGTGGAACCCGGAAATATGTTGCTTTGTAATCAAAATAATATTAATTATACTTATTATTTTAACGAACATAATTATAGCAATCATACGTATTCGTACAAATACAAAATACCAATATTTTTCCTCGAGGTCAAACGCAGCTTATCACGCCTAATAGGATTCTAAATCACTATGCTGATGCATGATCCACAGCGTCGCATAAAAACCATACAAGCAACAATAGACGTTAATACATGTATACAAAGGTTATTTTTTCATTCTAACAAAGGATTATCATAATTTATTTCTACATTGAAGGCCGCTGAAATCGTAGTATCTTTGTACTGAAATACCACCTGGGTGGCATTATTATCTACGAAGTAGAGTCTACATAAACTAAACAATTGCGAAATTGAGTTTGTTTGTCACGCTTTCACGCGGAAACAGCGGAGCTATTTTCAATGAACTTTAGTACAAAGATAAATCTAGATTTACGGGGGTGCAACCGTGGGCTAAAATTAGTCATCCTATTTGTGTTGTTACTATGCACAAAAACTGCGTGAGGAAAACCGTTGTAATAAATTATCATTGTCAAGGGTAAACTATAGGCACAATACACGAAAGATCTCAACAAAAAATTTGTTAAGGTTGGCTAGTATTAGCTAATGGCTGACGCCTAATCAAGGCATATTTGACATAACGTAAGCATTATTATTAATATCAATTTCCTGAGTCGTCAAGAAATGCAAGCATGTTTTACTGCACGTTTGCATGATACCAATCGTCACCACGCTTTCTAACAGACATATCATATTCATCATAATTATTACTTCGTTGTAAGCGCCGTTTTAAATAGGATATCAATTTTACATTGGAATTCTTCGAACAGTATCAAATTTGGCACTCATACAAATCTAAGTCATAAACTTTTCCTGCATTTAGAGCCTGATAGACCTTCCAGGAAAACCATACTTATGGTCTGTTGTTAAATTTGAAATTCATATGCAGCCAAATGGAAAACAACGCCTTTTATTAGAGCATATGTGGCAATGAATACACGTAATCTCATCAACACACCATTGTTAATAGGTCGTGATAACGCGAGAGAATCATACGCTCACTCGTTTTCAGAATTGTGTAGTCTGTGTACATTGTTATCATCGTAAACATTACTGTGTGAATCATCCTCGTTTTCTTTAGAAACGATATTTTTATGAGGATTTTCCAATTCGCGAAATTTCGTCAGGAAATCCTTAGTCAAGTCATCTCGAAAATTGTTAATTACTGCATCAGTATTGATGTTACTAAACACGTTCATTTTGACCTTAGCAATATGCTTCGTCTTTAGGTTTCTTCGTGTAGCTTTAATCACATTAAAATTAATATCAGTTTATTTTTGTTTAGCTGTATAAACGATAAAAAAGTAGTTCATTCAGTATTTAAATTACAACCCATCACTTTGAATCCAGTTCAGTCTGGCATATTTTTGCCCTACTAAGGTTAAGCCACTCGAGGACATGTAAGCTGCTGGACAACATACACTTTTTGTTTATTTTAAAGGCACGCTCGCCAGTTTCTTTTTAGTAACTCTACTGCATTGACTGTATTGAGTAACTAGCTGTAACTGATCAAAGGAAAGGAAGTTTTATTGCCCTACTAAATCTCTAAAGACAAAACAATGCTCACTACTCATTATTCATAGTGTGTACATGGAACTGGTTTCTTTATAGTACTCGGTAACTACGGCCTTGTGGCTATGTTTACTGCATGAAACAAACAACGATGCTTGTTTTGATGACACTTCCAAGGGCATTCTGCACTATAACTTAATATTTTTAAAATTGCATTTTGATTGTCAAGTTCTAAACATTCTCGAATGTAATTTTGACAATTCCAGAATACAGATTTTATGTCTGTAGCTCGATTTATAGGTCTTAAATCCTTACCTTAGCAATTAATTTTCCATCATCTCCAATGAGGAACTCTTCCAGTCCAAAGACGAGGGGTGAAGCAGTTCCGAGGTGGAATATCCTAGATGACGTCCCTCTTGTTACTCTGAATTCAATGGTCTTCGCCATGAGCACATCAGTGATCATGTATACAGACTTTTTGCCTTGCAAATCTGCAACAAATAAGGTTTAAAATTTAAAATTTAGGTCCTGCAAAGCGAATATTTTAAAACTCAGCTCAACAAATTGGACCAATTCCTATTTCCAAATTCCATTAGGGATATTATAAAGAAATTTACAAATCTACAATCTATCGTAGAAAAACTTTTCAACAAAAGTTGATTAACAGAATTTTCCAGCTCTGATTTCGCTTTCAATCAAAACACGTAAACAAAATTAAATAGCGATAAACGAAACTACGTTGTTGGTGATTTCCGATATTTTTAAAACGCAAATGTGATAATAGAATTTTTATCCGATATAAATAAACATGTTGACAGATCATCACTATGCTACCAAATGTGGAAGGTTTTATTTGACGATCTACGATTGTTTGGTTAGAACAAAAGTGCGTAACGATGCTCATAATATTGTAGTTGTTAACTTTGTTATTACATAACTGTACATAAGTATTGTTTTCTTTTGCTAGACTATAAAAAATGTTTTTGTTCGGGTTAATCTCGTTTTGGTCGCTAGTGCGAAATGAAAAGCAAAATAGAGCAAGTTCAGCTCATAGCAAAACTAACTACATGGGACTCGTATCATAACTGGAGAAAAATGATTATGACGTTGTCTATGTGCGTGTCTCTTTGGGTACTTTTGCATAAAAGCCGCGATGCTATTTTATATCCAATCCTGTTGTTTAGAATACGAGAAAACATCTACTTTCTCTGTACGTAAATGTAAATAAGCATTAATGACACTTGGAATAGGGTTCATAATCTCCTTACCTTTGTTATTTTCAACGTCCAAATAGATGTTGTTGACGAGATCCTTGTCCCTGGGTACTCTGGTCCTTGTGAAGTTCACCATGATGACCCTAACTTTATTCTTGATGGCTTCATCTTGCAATGTGATCTGTAAAGAAGATTTTTTGTTAGGGAAACTGTAGATATATGGTTGGATACAATGGCCAAGGTCATTGCGGATATGGGTATAAAGAACGAGACTATTGCGTCATTGTGTGTCCTAGATTTAGTGTATAGTTTGTGTATTAATCTTATAACATTAGGCGCAGCATCTGTATTATCTGAATATTCAATGTTTAAATTTTTGCTTGTTGAATCCCTACTTTATTTATGCAATGTAATTTTGATATCAAACGGATAATTCATCATAACATTATGTGGATAGTAAATCCAGAAATGCGTTTACACATTGCACCAAAATATTTCAGAAACAGCTCCTATAAATCACTTGAAACAGGTTTATGTAATTCTGGAGGAGCAAATTTCTATTATTACCACGATATTTTAAGACCACATTATCTTAGTTTCTATAGCCACATTATATCGTATTTATTTATCCATGTAATCGTGTTCTAGCCTCGCTTACCCAGGTGTGAATTCTACTTCTCGTCGATCTGTCTATCAGAACATCACACAACAGGGCGTTGACCTACACAACAGTAGTATAACAGTTTTTATAACTATTCTAGTGGGATCGAGGCACTACTTTACAATTCCTTCTTTTTTACTGGTGGCAACTTTAAAGAGAGCGACCAAAATAAGTTTGCAAACTCAAAATATGTAAAGTCTTTGAGAAAAAATTAAGGACTTTATGGCTCAAGAGTTGGATGACTAAAAGCTAAATCTGAAACTTAAATGACAAAAACTGGAATTGAGGAAGACTGAAAGAATTCTGGTAAGAGTATTTTTGGAAGTATAATGAACTAAATCCGCGGTACTTCAGTGTTCAAATGTCTTCCTCGTGTCTGGAACTTTCTGTTTAATCACGTTCTGACTTCTGTGTATTCATTGCAGTAATAAAATGAAAGAAACGATAACAATATCACATACGATTTAAAATTAAGATCTGTATCGGTTGAAATGCAAACAAGATACAGATAAGATTAAAATAATAGTTTCATATGAAAGCCACGTAATATAGCAACTGGACTTGTATTGGTTACTGGAAATAGGTATGTTATAAGACGCTAATTTTATTATCCTTTTGTAAATTATTTATTGCAGAAACCAAGGTACATAAAGTGTTAATAAAAACTCAGGTAAATATGACTGCAAAAGTTACAAAAGGAAGGACATTCATTTATCCTTTCAAGTGAGAATATTTTTAATTTTTTTTTCCAATTTTGAGAGGCAAATGTAATGAGGTCCTCAAATTCTATTCGTAGCTATTAAATATTTATGAAACCCCTGTATGTAACGAGAGGTTCTGTAAAGACAAATTTAACTAATTTTACATTTATTTAGTTACTAGCTGTGCCCGCGACTTCGTTCGCGTAGAATAGTGACTATGAGCAGCGTTTTTTTTTAAATATATACTTATTTTTATTTTAGATTTGGATCATAATCACAGTCATTTTGGGTAGCTAAAAATCTACTTTACTGTAATGCTTCTCTATATACAATATTAGACGTATAGCCATCGGGGGTGAAAGCATACAGGCTGCTGGGATTGCTAACACGGGACAGAGCCACATACAATCGACCGTGCGAAAAACAGCTGATACTTAGATGTATACCCACAACTTTTAGAGTCTGACCTTGAGCTTTATTAATTGTCATGGCGAAACATAGGCTCACTGGAAACTGAATTCGTTTAAAATTAAACGGAAAATTTTTTGGAATGAGAGGAATCTGAGGAATAAAACCACTATCACCTTTTCCGCACCCTGTTAAATATATATATATTTATAAGCCATTTCTGAGATTAGCGTGAACAGACAAACAGACAAACAGACAAAAAAAAAGTTAGTTACATTTTTGGGTTCGACATCGACATAACAATAGCCCCTGCTATTTTTTTTATTTTTATTTTCAATGTACAGACAGCACTTTTCTACAATTTTATTATATGTATAGATAGATAGATAGATAGATAGTGTTCGACGTGATTCTTTAATTTGACGTAACTTTTTTATTTATGAACCGATTGACATGAAACAAACACTAAAGCATAACTGAAGCATACCACAATATATTCGTGAAAACCGCATCCAACTCGGATAAGCCGTTTCTGAGATTAGCGTGAACAGACAAACAGACAAACAGACAAAAAAAAAGTTAGTTACATTTTTGGGTTCGACATCGACATAACAATAGCCCCTGCTATTTTTTTTATTTTTATTTTCAATGTACAGACAGCACTTTTCTACAATTTTATTATATGTATAGATAGATAGATAGATAGTGTTCGACGTGATTCTTTAATTTGACGTAACTTTTTTATTTATGAACCGATTGACATGAAACAAACACTAAAGCATAACTGAAGCATACCACAATATATTCGTGAAAACCGCATCCAACTCGGATAAGCCGTTTCTGAGATTAGCGTGAACAGACAAACAGACAAACAGACAAAAAAAAAGTTAGTTACATTTTTGGGTTCGACATCGACATAACAATAGCCCCTGCTATTTTTTTTATTTTTATTTTCAATGTACAGACAGCACTTTTCTACAATTTTATTATATGTATAGATAGAAGATTTGAAGTCTATTAGCTATTTAAAAAGGCAGACAAAAACAATCTTATCAAATTAATAGCGAAGCCATCAACCCACGCTAATACAACTGGTTTACATCCATGACAATGACACCATTGAAGTTTAACAAATATGTAACGGCGGATGCCAAAAATGATTAAAAGTTAAAACTGTATGATGGGTAGGAATTACCGCGAATTCTTTCAAGTTTATTTTTTGATCATGGTAGCAATCTCTAGAAATTCACTATGAAGATGAATAAAACAAATTCTGTCTCTTCTGAGCGTTACGTTGCGGGAACTAAGACAATTATTCAAGTCCCTGAGACGCGCCGGACTTCAGTGTTCCGGTGTTTTCATGGTTCTATCTACTGAAGATCCTGATTTACAGGAGCTGTAGCGGTATTGGGAGATTGTGGTGTTTGTCCCATTAAAAAAATGGAAACGTCAAGTCAATGAGCATAAATTCCCACTAGCACACGTATTTTTTTTGTATGATTCATGGTTGATGATACCTAACTACATTTAATGGGAAAGTGTAGGTACCATTTAAGCATGTTTTATTTTAACTGATACTTTTATATTAACAGATTATTTATTGTTAATTTAATGACGATTAATTACCTAATAAATAATCTGCAGTTAATTAGGTTTCTAGTGTACCTACGAAGACAGCTGACTAATCGCACGTACGCACGCAAAATGCGTTCAAAACCGTAATAGTCATCGTAATCATTTAACATTCAGAAAGATTTATAATCAAGAACATATTTTCTGGACTGCGAAAGAAAATGTAGGAAAGCCAGGTGGCTTAACGAAGTAGGAAATCAAATGTTTATAAATAAGAATACGCTGAGCAGGCGTAGGAACGGGGTGGTTTTTAGTCAGTAAGAGTCTGACACTTTCTCGCTTCGCCCAAGGCGGATAAAGTCATTGGACGATATTCCTCACTCGAAAAAAAGGTGATATAATGAAACTCATAGATTTATTACGACCATTGGTGTTTACTGGAAACAGAATACACAGAATCAACCGCTTTGAACTTCCGAGAATATAAATAATAACACTTTTCCTCACATCCGTGTATTCATGGAATAAATACAATCAAATCATGTTGATACCGCCGCATTAATACACGTCTTTTAACCCCGAAGGGGTAGGCAGGTGCACATTATGCCACTGTACAATGTAACACCCACTTTTTATTAATTATGTTACGAGTCTCATGTAATAGGGGGTGAGCCTATTGCCATATACCGGGCACAATTCCAGACTCCGTGTTACTATTAAGATTTTTTTTTCAAAAACCAGTAATACTTTGCCCGACCCGGGAATCGAACCCGAGATCTCTTGCCCGGCAGTCTTGCGTCAGCACTTGCGACCACTCGGCCACCGAGGTAGTCGTTTAGATTAGTATGTTCGCCAATTAATTATTATTATGTATGTCTTTACCATTCACGGGACCATATGGTCCCGGTCACTTGGGAGGCGTACGAGGGGCCGAAGCCAACTGCGCAGAGGCCCTTTAGACAACTTTAATATAAATGTAATGGACACAAACCGGCGACTATCCCTGTATGAACTATGGAAATGCACCCAAGGACAGTCCCCGGACAGTGTAGAAATATTGTAGATAATGGAAAAAAAGGTAGGGCTATGGGTGGGTTGCTGTGGACTAGTAAATTGGGAACTATGGATGACTATGGCACCTGCCGAAACAATGTAATTACTACACGTAAAAATGGCAGTATTATTCATCGAATTCAATAGCAGTTCTAATTGAGGTTGCACTTGGCACGATTCAAAGTCACGTTTAGATGTAGCTGATTCGTGTTTTTATTTGATTAGGCTACAAACGGCAATATTTTTTTAAATTGTAATTTTAAATGATTCTACAAAATTTCCATTCATATATCAACGTAGCAAGTATTGTGACTCAAAAGGCTGCAATGCAATTGGGCTCTGCATTGCAGTGTTTTCAAGTAAAAAGACGAGTTTCAATGTTTCGGTGCTTTCTTGAAGCGGTTAGTCTCTTTGGGGTCATTTAACTCTTTTTTTATGGCATAAGCCGGTAAACGAGCAGACGGATCACCCGATGGTAAGCAATCGGCGTCGCCCATGGACACCTGGAACACCAGAGGCGATAAAAGTACGTTACCGGCCTTTTGGGGATTAGGAGTTTGAGGATCGTTGGGGATTCAGGGATTGGGGAGATTGGGGAAGGGGAAGGTAATTGCGCCTCCGGTAACCTCACTCACACGACAAAACACAACGCAAGCGTTGCTTCACGTCGGTTATCTGTGAGGCCGTGGTATCACTCCGGTCGAGCCGGCCCATTCGTGCCGAAGCATGGCTCTCCCACACTTGAACTCATCTCATCGAATATTGTATTTTTTTAGTTTAACTAGAGTAAATACTGCCGCGCGCAACAATTATTGTGAAAAATCAAACCCCCAATAATAGTGTCATTAAACAATTTCCTACATGGTCGGTAACGCACTCGTAACATCTTTTTTTGCAGGTGTAGCTTAACAACTTGACCATCAAGAAATCCCCTCAGTGAGACTAGGTCTTTCATGTTTCAGGTGCACTGGGAATAGGCAGCGAAATGATTACGAAAATCGGTATGTTGGTTCGCAATCCTAACAATTAGCTGTTTGGTATCATCCTTTGGTTGACTGGTTTCTTCGCGACATAAACAGCCGTTTCCATTCACCGAACCAAGCAGGAAATGAGCTGACAAATAGATCATGAGAATTCACGGGAGCGTTAAATTCAATAACTTCGAAGAGGTATTACATTTCATGCTTGTTTAAACTTCCTTATGGCATACGTCGATTAGTCTAGAAAAATCATGCTCTCAAACGCGATTACATAATACGAGAAGTACAAAAATAAACTTTTTTTTTCAAGGAACTAATCCAAGGTGCAGCTAAACTTCTGCCCTTTTTTTAACTGCATATTCTATATCTCAATGACAGCTCTGAGAGTTGGCAAAATAGTTAATAGAAGCACAGAAAGTGCTATTTGGGGGAAACCAGATGTAGTCTTTGTGGTTCTGGTTTGTTTACAAACATTCCAAATCAATCTTGGCCTAAGTACATATTTAAGATTACCTATAAAGCAAACATTTTTAAAGTTTACTATTATAAAATTTTAATACCTACATCGAATTATCTAATAAGGAATTTATATAATTAAGCTGTTTATTAAGTAATTGTATTAAAATAATCTAAAAAAGGGTTTATAATTGCATTGATGGCCTGATATAACGGGATTATAGTATTAAAGCAACTATCTTGTAATCAAATCTGAGTTACGAACTTGTAGTAGTTATCAAGAAGCCTTGATATTGATCTTAAACTTTATACCTATTACGATAGGACATGTTTCAAGTTGATCGATAAAAGTAATTCCCCAAACTGTTTACATGGCTAAAAGGACGAAAGTACGTACATAGACATAGGTACTTGGTTAATTTGAAGTATTGCTTCAGTTTTTGAAGTAGCTATTCTAAATAAAACAATGACTGAGTAAATTGAATGTTATATACTTATCTAGTGAATTACATGGTTACCTATATTTCCATATACCTAAATAAAAACTAGTTCAAGTATATTATTCATTAACCTGCTTTTATAATATTTTTTTCATTAATATGATCACTGCCAGTGGGATGCAAGTACTACTGCTAAGTAAAGCCCTTACTTGTTCAATTTATAGGTGAAACGAAAGTATCATTGCGGTATTTAAATTTCTTAGTAACACAGAATCTGGAATAACTCACTACACGATAAACAACATTGTGTGAAAACGTGTTATTAGTTAACTAGCTTCTACCCGCGACTTCGTATGCGCAATCCCGTTTCATAATATGTACCCGTTTGCGATTTTCAGTATCCCCACCTACTTTCATTCAAATCGATTTCGCCATTTTTGAGTTATAAATAGTGTAACTAACACGACTTTCTTTTATACATGTTACACATACATACATATAGATATACAGATATGTGACTCTACTTAGTATTTCTCTACTTCTAGGAATAAAAGACTATAATGTGATGAGGAAGACATACCTACTTTACTGATCTATAACTAAAAAGAGAAGAATTTGTGATCTCATTGTTGCTCGCTAAAGTTAATAAATTATGAGTCAAGAATTTGTTTTCTAGAATACTTAATAATGACTTTTATTTTGTTTTTTTTTATTGATGTTTGGTTGAACCTTAATTTATAAGTGTGGCTGTCCCTTGTTAATCTAATTATAAGAAGACAGAGAAAACGACAGCTGATGGACTACTTTTGTATTAGACAGAACACAATCAATATGATTTTAAATGGGTAATAGAGTATAGAATATTGAAGTAAAAATGTAGAGTTTATAACTATTCAGGCTAAACTCTTATCAAGTGATACAAGGACTCCGTTAAAATAAGACTAAATTTTAGGCAAATTTAGACCTAAAACCCTTTGTCATTGAGTTTAACTAGTTTATTAATAAGTTATAGTTTTAGAACATGCTACTTTCAATGAGAGAATATACTGGGAGCTGGTGTTTCAACAGATAAAAGGTTAAGAGGTTTTCCTGTACCTTTAAATGTATGTTTTCCTTTTATAAAACAGCAATTAGTTATTACTATTATTCTTTAGATATTTATTACTGAATAAGCTGTGAAAAAGTGACCAACACCTATTGTGTGGAATTACATAATGTGAATCAGAAGCGTACTAACTCAATTACCTCAATACTAAATCTTTAAAGCCAATAAAATTAACTCTATCATATAGTAAAAATCTTAGTCAAACCAGAACTTGCTAAGTAGCCATTTTCTAGACCTATTAAGTGCACTTGTAGAGCTAATTAGTGTTAATGCAGTGTCCTTTTTACAATTATTATGCCAGTACATAGTGACCTTAGCCGTTAATCTAATGGATAATGCATGGCAGGCATTAGGCAAACAAATGTTGCATTATTCAAGACTGCAAATGATAGTAGGTATGAATGGTTGCATGTTGCATGCTCTCTTGGGCATCATTTTCTACTGCGAAGGTTGTATATACCATAGACAGCATTATATTATAACAGCTCTTTTTTTGAAAAAAATAATTTGTATATGTAGTGCATTTAATATTTCTTTTTATATTGGGTGATGTTATGGTTCACTATCATTTTTGTACTAATAAATGCTGACTGGATATTTCAAATCCAGTTATGCCTTTTATCCATGCCTTTAGGCAGTTATTTAGGTCTCATTTTGATGTGTGGAAAAAACAATGGTGGTACCCTGACAAAGATTACGTAGTACGAAAGAAAGTTCTAATTACTTTTTATTTATAATACTGACCTTTACGCTTTCATGGGGAAACTTGAAATCACGTTCTTGAAAGTCACCTTCTTCAAGCCATTGCACATGTTCGGAGGTTGATTTCTCCTTGTTTATGTTCTTCACCAATTCGCCGAGTGGCGTGAACATTTTACCGTTCGTTTCCTTCTCATTTGGAACGAATAGGGATGTAACTTTATACAAATCCGCTTCGGTAATATGAGGAATACACACCAACTGACTGCTGCCGATTTCAATCTCAATTTCGTCTCTGATAAACGGCCAAGCATCCTCTAATTTGAGAGACTTTAAATTTTCCAAGCTAACATCTTTACGAATTTCGTGCGAATACAGCGATTTTACAACTACTTTCAGTTTTTTCGGCATTTTGATTTATTATTTCCAACGTAATTTTCTCACACAACACAAGTACTGTCTCAGCAACTGTCAACGAAAGACTGACAACTTTTTTCTCTTTTCTCACTGAATTTATGCTAGCGGTACAGAAAGAGATAGATAGTATGATCGATACGAGCGGATCGAATGAGCGTGAAAGAAATAGCAATACCAGTAATACCATACGCTGGTTCAAATATTCCCTGTATTATAATATTTTTTTTTCTTTAGCCGCTTAGAACTTTAATTTGATAATTTCATTTCTTTGTTTGTGATCGTTTCAGTAAGTGCTCTTAATAACTTACACATGTTGAAATATTCATACCTTGAGTATAAAAACAGAACACACAGGAAGCTGTAACTGTGACCAAATGTGGGTGGGCAGCAGCATCTAAATTGTCGGTTAAGTACCTAACTTCTAAATGAGGTCCACGGGTCACTTGCTAAGGGTGAAGACTAGTGAGGAGCATTATAGAAACGACTTGAAAAGACGTAATAGTCCTTCGTTAAAGCCTTCAGACCTTTGATGGAAGCTCAATTGATAAATTTAAAAAATCATACTAAGTAGGTATCTAGTTGTTAATGAATATCATCATTTAAAACTTGAAAAGCAATATAATCACCAATTCTATGATTTATAGCGAACAAAATATTTCCAAGTTATAATTAAATTACCAAGAACCTTGGCTACGAGGAAAACACGGCATCTCTCGATACGTCACGCTGTTGTCACGCGTAGCTCACGCAACCACAGAGTTGTTTCGGTGTCTTCAAACATGCAGGATGCATGCAGAGTTACGATGCTGACTCAGCCTAGTCATAGTTTTCTCACGACTAATCCGCGCCAATTTTTTGCATGGTCTATGTGACGCAAAATGACGAAATTTTAATTTTGCCAACAACATCACGCTACCTACTTCTACTTTTACAACATATTTTAACGATATAGCGTGATACTAATAAAAATTATACTTTTTTCTATTTAGATTAGGTAGCTACTCGGTAGCCAATAATATGAGCGCATAGTTAATAATTTTCTTGCTGAAAGGCGCGTTGCTCTTTCTTATTATTGCTACGTTACTTACTGCCGAGGGGTAGGTAAAGTTTATTTCCATTTTTTTATTTATTAATGGGTGTTGATGCATTTAATGTGCATGGGAAAATGGCTGGAACCCAAATTCGTACGGATATGGATATAAATAGTAGGTACTCTGTGAAAAGGTGATAGACTTTCCCGGTCGATTCCCGTGAGTTCTACCGCCGCGCCGTGTCGTAAATTCGATTTAAAGGCAGAAGCTTTTCGGCCGAAATCCCTTATAAGGGTGAGCTGATTGCCATGCTCCAAGCTCCATTACGGATTCTATGCTGCGACTTATTAAACATTTTTGAAAACTGAAATTACTCAGTAACGACTCGGCCATCGAACTCCTCATTGCCGGGGACGCAGCAGTATAAAAGAGACCTTACAATAAACTGTAGGTAGTTATTAGTCAAGCCTTTAACTGCCGATAAAAACTATTAATCCTCCGCCATGGGCGTAGCCAGCTTTGAGCTCAGGGTGGGGCAGCAGCCAACCTATCCCCCGGGGGAGCCGATTCGGAGTCGCGGAGACCCTAACGGGTAACCGGGGCTCCGGCTCGACGTACAGGAGAAGGAACGGGGTGGTTTTTAGTCAGTAAGAGTCTGACACTCCCTCCCGTCTCACACAGGCGGGAGCAGTCATTCGATGATTTTCCCCCCTTAAAAAAAATCCCCCGGGGGCGGTGGCCCTCCGATTTTTTGTACCTTGAGCCGTTAATCTCAAACTTGTTAATCTCTTAAATTTGGCTAGACTGTCTCAGTAGGATCTCGCGATTACGGATAGTAATAGTTATATTGATGTTGTTAGTTAGAGTTAGTAAAAAAAACATTGTTTAATCCGACACCTTATGGGTCAGAGCCAGGGCCCAGGGTGGGGCAAGTGCCCCAGCTTGCCCCAGTGTGGCTACGCCCATGTCCTCCGCTACCGTCAGACATCGTTGTCCGACACGGCGTGAAATGCGTAAAACATCTCAGGAAAAATAAAAAACAATAAATGTTAATTACAAATTATAATACTCATAAGCTTAAAATTAAAACAATTTATTAAAATCATTATCATTAATTATAATAAGGCAGGTTTTACAATAATATTTTTTGAATGATAGATGATAGAGAGCATGATGAAATATAACTTTATTATAAAAAATATGAAATGGAATGTCTATACCTGGCTATTTATGACATCACAACAAAAATAAAATAATAACATTCATTTGAATTACATTTATAAAAATTATAGTAAATCTCAATAAATAAAAATGTCACATATTGGTAAGCAAAATAAGACCTTGTTTTCAAGAGATGTGCAAGTGAAATTCAACCTTATGGTTGAATGATTACATAGTGATTAATTTAATTTCCAAAGTTAGCATGTTTGAAAATCTTACACCTATTTTACATTAATACAATTACTTGCAAAATTAAGGGTTTAATTTCATACATATTTTTGCAAGTACTTATACATTTACATTATCAATAAGAAGTGCTAACATAAATTACACAATAATAGCATTGCTTCTGAAGCTAAGCCTCTTTACAACACAAACTCCTTGCTGTCAGTTTGACAGCCCAAAAGGCAGTGCATTGAGTCTTTGAAATTGATATAAAACCTCTTTTGCATTCAAAATGAAAGTAGTCTAGTAGATATTCATACCTTATTTACATCGAACAATATACTTTCTACTCATCAGTGCCTCACTAGACTACTTATGACTAATGCATAAGTTTTATATTCAAATAATTTTTATCAAGGCTGAAAGTCTTTACTAATTTTAAATGCACGGCATTTTAAACAATTCTTGCACCCAATTTTATACAATTCGACAAAAGCAAAGTTTACCATTATGGTTGAGATTCTAGAAAGTTATTAATTGTTAACTGTTTTCACCATTCAAGAAGATTTTCTGAAGAAATTCACAAGTAATTAATTTTGGATTGGTTATAAAGGTTCTAGGACTTTCAGCCTTACACAGATTAAAAAGTTTCCCCAGCTTTCAGTGTTGCCACAAAGCATTTGCAGTGTTTCCACAGTGTTGCCAGCTCTGAATGATAGTGTGGTCATGTCCCTCAAAAACTTAAATAATTTTACTTCTTGCCAATATTAGGTGTGGTGGATTGGAAAACTGATGATGCCGACATTAAGTTCTCAATGTACTGCCCTAAGACTTGGTTCTCTGAGCGAAGTTTCAAATTTTCTTCTTTTACGGAATCCACCCTCTGTGACAGATCTGAAAAAGGAAATATGAATTTTGTTACTTGTAACAAACATAGTATTATTGTTTTCATTCAAGTTAGGATAACTCAATGTTTTAATGCAATGCAAACGGAATGCTTCCGAAAAACGCAGACAGGTGAGAGTAAAAAAACGAGTTTAATTTTCTTAAAATAAGGAATTAAATGTTTCTTTAATGTAACAATAGTTGGAATCAATTGCTCAAGGCTGATGTTGCATGAATAGCACAAAAACAAAATCAATTCAAATTTTATAAACTGTTTCTGTTTGCCAGCGTTTCGGAAGCATTCCACTATTATGTGTTGCATTAGTTATAGCAGATAGTAACATTATACACATTATGCGTGTCAGGTGACACCAGATTATTGCCAAGCAACTTTCAACCTCCCATCTATCAATTTACATTTTCCACTTCTTTCCATTGTAGAAATTAAGTATGTGTACCTAGTAATAGTTTTATTTTCAGACAAAAGTTTATAAATGAAATTAAAACTGTGCTAGTATTTTATCGTTTACTATACAAATTTGCAAGTGATTCAAATAATATAAGGACTATGTGTCATAACTTCATATGCTAAACCAATTAAATTACAGAGATGATTAATAAAAATCTTACCATCTAGAGTATTCTGCAATTCCAACACTTGTGATATAAGGCGGGCCTTTTCTTCCTGTTCATCAATTCCGGAATCTGGCTCGAAACTAGGTGGCCCATTAAGGCCAGGGCTTGAGGAACCACCAGTATAGGAACTCGGCAATGAGTCCATTGAACGACCATGATCTAAATGATTGTTTTCTATTTCATCGTTAATTATCACTTGTGGGTCGTCATCTGCTAAAGGTATATTATCATCATTACACTTCTGCATGGTTGATCGTTAATATTTGATTAGCCGGCTGTTTTAAATTAATAAACTCATAGAAAATAGGGCGAATATCGATCGATTTTTCGTTTTGTTTGAAGTGACGTTTCCATTTGTTTTGACATGACATTGTGGGTGGGTTTATGAGGCACCTCACACGCAAAACGATGTCAATGTAAATGATTGCTTATTCATAAAACACGTTAATATATACCTAATTAAAGCAATTATATATTTTAAATATAAAAATGATTGATTGAAACTGCAAGACAGTGGTGTAAGGATGTAAACTAACCATTTTCAAACAACTATTTTACAGGTATTTTTATTGAAGCTAGCTTCATAAACAGTTTGACACGTTTCTCTACGCTCAGAAATGCTAGGCATTCCATTAATATTCAATGTATATCAAATAGAATGAACACTATAGATTTTAGATTAAATTAGAATTCATGACTGAAAATTATTTAAATAAATTATACTGCTTTTATATTTTGCTAAAAACTAATTGAAAGGAGCTTATTTCTCCAGATAGAATAAGTTCAATAAACATAATGAATGAAACGTTTCTGTCAAAGTCAAATCTTACAAGAGAAGGACTGCAGGAGGAATGTTTTATTTTTATTAATAAAAAATTGATTTAAACCCTTGATATAACAAAATTGTTGATATCAAGACCTACCTTTGCAATGGCATTAGCTATTAGATGGTCTTCGAGTGAGGTTTTTGGGGCAGCGAAATGGTTCATAAGAAGAGGTTAGAAAACACCTTTAGTCTTTTATTTACGTTTTTATTAATGAAATATCTATAATTTCAATGTTTATTGCAGATTGTCGTGCCTTATCAACTATTCCTGAAAGAGCTGAGGAACAAACTGTTTCACCGAAACGTGAAAGACAGGCGACATCTCGAGTTCGGATTAGTGCAAGAAATCCAAACTTGGGCTTGCGACATGCATACCCAGAATTTCTGCCTGACCCCAACCCAAAATGGAGGAACAGTCTGCGCGAGAAGTTGGAAAGAAGTGACATGCTGAAAAGGCGCAATCAGATTGATATACCTGAGTTTTATGTTGGTATGTGTATCAATTCCTAACTTTAGCGATATTTGAATCTGTAACTAATACTGTATCATATTTACTATCATTTTGTTAATACATTTCTAGTAAGTATTATTTATGTGAAAGTATAATTTTTAGATAGATTACCATAACAACATCACACCTTTTATCCCCAAAGGGGTAGGCAGAGGTGCACATTATGTCACTGTACAATGTAACACCCACTTTTCACTATTTATGTTATGAGTCCCATGTAGTAGGGGGTGAGCCTATTGCCATATACCGGGCACAATTCTAGACTCCGTGCTTCTACTGAGAATTTTTTAAAAACCCAATAATACAATATTAGATAGAATATTACATAATTACATAATTATTACTTTCCAAACACAAAAAAGTTTGTTTCATTTATTTATATCCACATGAATAGGTTGCTTACAAGCAGGAATTGTGCATCACCACTTACCACCATGAATTTCTGCCACCACTTTGCGTATTAAAAAGAAATGTTCGTTGGAGTCATAAATAGTGCCAATAATTATTATTATGTATTATTTCAGGTTCAATCCTAGCTGTGACCATAGCTGATCCCCATGCTCAGGGCAAGACCAACAGGTTTGTTGGCATCTGCATTGAGCGCAAAGGATGTGGATTGAGAGCTGAGTTCACACTAAGAAATGTTGTTGATCATCAGGGAGTTGAGGTTTGTAGTAATAATAGAACTTGTAAATGCTAGTGTGGGAAAAATAGTTTTTATCTCCCTTCCTTTTCAATCGCTCGCCAGATCATAAACAAATTAGTTGAGAACCAAATGGCGTTGTGGTGGAGCAGACAGTGCGGCTTCTCCTACTTATATGAGGTGGTTACTCTTCAGCCTCCTAACAACCGCAATCGGTTTCAACGGTTCAACTACAAGTTCAGATGCAAGTTAAAGGTTCCTTGTTGTACAAGAAAAATAGGTATTCTAAAAATTTAGAAAAGCTTGTTGCAACATCTTGGTAAATCAAATCATTAATGTTTATTTGCTAAAATAGGGTACAATTTATAATATAACTGACATAGTGTGTATAAATGGAAAGCAATGTAATAGGATATTAATTACGTGAACTGTGTTTAGTAACATAATTTCTAAGAAAATTTGTATCAGTGATCCCAGCCTCATTCCTATTATAGTATGGAAGTGTGTGCACTATTTGACATAATTTTTCAACTCCAAATATTTGATTAATGAATTTGTTTGAATTTTAAAATGAATAATTAAAAGAAATTTTTCTCGTTTTGTAATCAAGTAAGTTAAATGGTTTCTGCTAATGATTTCAGGTGAGGTATGATCTCTATGACCCTACAGTGCAGAGTATCCAAGTTCTTCGCCTTGAGAAACGGCTGGATGACAAACTCCTCTACTTGAGGGATGCTCTGCCAGAGTACAGCACATTTTCCTTCGACATGGACCCTGAAGTCTTGCCTGAAGGCACACCAGTACCTGTCAATCCTGTGCAGGTTTGTTTATATTTAATTGTTATAAGTAGCTTTTAGCTTTAGCCACAAGCATGCATAAAAAGACTGATGAGTGTTGATGAAATGAAAGAGGTACCTATGTAAGAATAGTAGCTATTGGTGTTCCATAGTCTCTGCCTTGAGAAACAGGGTTATGGATGTAGCTTGTGTCACAGGAACTAAATCTTGGCAATAAAGGTAGCATAATAGGTGTTCCTCATGCAGATCTTACATTCATCTATCCAACCTCATGAAGAACCTCATTTTGTATTTTCTAGGTGAAACTAAAGCCAAGACCCTGGCTAGAAAGATGGGAGAGACAAGAATTGAAAGGTGTTGCCAACATTGAGGAGCATTTGAAGGAGAAGGACAGAGTCAGGAGGGAGTTGAGGGCAACACCGTGGGAGAAATATGACTTGATGAAGCAATACAGGTAATGTAATGTTAAATAGAGTTTTAGCTATTATACCATAATAGTTATTTGTATATAACATAACAGTTCATTGACTGCCTCGTTGACCGAGTGGTCGCAAGGGCGACTGCCGGACAAGGGGTCTCGGGTTCGATTTCCGGGTCGGGCAAAGTATTACTGGGTTTTTAAAAATCTCAGTAGTAGCACGAAGTCTGGAAATGTACCCGGTATATGGCAATAGGCTCACCCCCTATTACATGGGAATCATAACATAAATAGTGAAAAGTGGGTGTTACAATGTACAGTGGCATTAAGTGTCGTAATGTGCACCTCTGCCTACCCCTTCGGGGATAAAAGGCGTGATGTTATGTTATGTTGATTTGTGAATGTAGACTTTCTCTTCAAAGCCTAAATCCATAGCATTTCATTTATGACACTATTTATCATTTTAATTCAAAAATATTGTACAATAAATCAATTTTTAGAATAAGAAAGAGTGTATTAACTCGTCGAGTACCGTCATTATAGACACAATTATAGAACAATAGGTTGCGGTCACCGGTGACGGTTAAACACCCCATTTTATAAAAGATAAATACTTTTTGTCAATTTGTTTATTATTCTATTTATACTATAATCTTTTCTTTTAGAAACACAATACCAATTGAAGACCAGAATGATATTTGGGCGGAAGTTAACCATCAACTGAGGCAGCTGCAACTCACGCGCAAGACAACTGCAAGGAAACGCACATTTACTACCCCCAAGTCACAGCTTGGATAGAATCCTAGTTTTATATTGATTATGTTCAAAAGTAGATTAATAAAGTACATATTGTTACAATTACAAATAGTTTTATTAAACACAGATATCTCTATAAGAATGACCTACATAAAATATTGTCTAGTTTACCTACCTTCTAAATACTACAATAAGTGATAATCACTCTTATAATTTATTTGTCCAAAACAATTAAATCGTCATTCTTTCTAGAGCTACCACCATTACAATCTTAGTTATAACTTATAACAAAATAGCTACTTTCAAGTTTGTAGAAAATATTTCATATGCATTTGTAAAGTAAGCGTATTTTGTTCAAAATTGTTAAATTACAAATTCATTATTACTTCTTTAGTCCAGCTTTGATTTCTGATTAAACTTCTGATTATTACTAAATATTATTATGCAGTTTAATTTATTGCAAGACTAAAGGTATCTACATATCCTTTAGATATAACAAATCTGCAGTAAGGCAGTAAATATTATTTCTAAATTAAAACTGTAAAGTATAAAAAGGTAGGTATTCGTGTTAACTAGCAAAAACAAGACGCATTTGCATGTCAATCTTGTCATAAGTTTGTTCCTGCTGATAACAGATGGCGTTACAAGCTGTTGTGGAGGTATTATGTGGAGGTATTCGTTTTGTAAAGATAAACTTTTGTTTTTTTTTTAATCAAAAGATATATGACTATTTTTACAAATACTTTACATTAATAAATAATCACAAAAGTTCATATTGTCATGTCGTGGCCGTGGTATGAGCCTGGAAGGTCGTATGCATGTACGTAGAACCTTCAAACAAACAATCAAAAATAGCCCTTATGTTCTTTGCAGCAGTGATTACATTGATGATAATCCAGTAAGTTTGCTTTGCTTGCTTGCGTGCGGCGCGGGCGGTCCGTGGAGCGAAGAAGTTCGCTTATTGTTCTTGAATGCACTTTTCTTGTATACCAAGCGAATCGAATAGGAAATACAAGAGAATTGAATAAAAATCGTGTTGTTTGTGCTGAATCAGTGAAGTGTATAAAAGTTTTTGTGAACTTGTTTGGTTACTGTGTTGAAATTGCATGTTGCACTTGATACACCTGTCGCCCGGTAAGTAATATTGTTTATGTGCTTATTTTTGCGAAAATATGTAGCGATGTTAGTTGTAAAATGATCATGGCCGGTAATTATATTGGGTATACCGTTACGAGTATGTATGTAGTTACGGTATCTCTCTTCTAAATTACGGATTGTTGGTGTCATAAAATTGCAACTGCAGTCTGGCCAACCAGTATTTATCGATTGTGACGCATTGTAGGTAACTGGTCAGTAGCTGTTAGAGCTCGATTTTACAACAAACTTTATCTTGAAATAGTTTTAC